GTCTTAGCCGACGCCATCAGCTACATACCTACTTGCATCTACACCCTTCCTGGCCTCCTGCCCTTCTGTTACAGTGAACAGTGGACCCAGGCTCTGGCTGCTTAAGGCTAATCTCGCCATCTGTGTTTGCTCCTAGTTTCTGAGTCCTTACTGTGTAGAATGCTCCTTTGCTCTCTATCTTCATCCTCTTTCCCTCTAGTAGATCCTTACTGTAGTTTGCTAGCTAGCTTGTTTGCTCTTTCTTGCCTTCTTTCTTTCTGGAAGATACTCCCTCCCCTTCCCTATCATGGCTCTACAGAGTTAGGCAGGAGAGTTTTTGGTTTTTTCTTTTCAGGAGATGCTCAGCTCTCTCAGAGAGGAATTAATGGCCTCTAACTGGCTCTGGGATCCTTGGGGCCCCAGCTGAGCCAGGGACGGAGGCACAAGGAGGCAAGGGGTCCTTGAGGCAAGGACTTAGTGTCCTTGACCAGGCTCAGACTGTAGGAGCTCAGGGGCCCTCAGGGGCCTAAAGAGACACCTCAAAGACTGGGATGGGGAACCCAGAGCTTCAATCAGCAATGCTCCTCTATCTGTAATATTTCTTTTGGATCGATTTTGGCACTTCAACAACAACAATCACTTTTGAAACTCCTGTCCTGGCCTCCTGATCTGAGTCTTAGGCTGCCCTCCTCCCTCTAGTCATGGGGAAAGATGTGCTCCCTCCTCCTGAAAGGTTTCTGCTCAGAGCCCGTCAGCTGCCAATTTACCAGCTGAGGGAGCTTCGGGCAAGCCCCTCCCCTGCACTTGGTGTCATTTTCTGTACAATATGGGTGGGAGGAGGCCAGACCTTGGCTCTGCACTTACGTTAAAGTGGGGTGATTCTAGAAGGAGGGCAGGGCAGGAAAACCAGACAGAGTCGCCCCTTCACAGACATACAACACATACATACTTCTTTTCCACCTCCACATAGGGGAACAGAAGCTAGGCAAGAGGTTGTGAAAATAGGAAACTTTAATATAAATAATAGGCCATAGGGGAATACTATGCAGGAATGAAAATGAATGATTTTCATAGATTTATTACCACATGCAACAATACTGGTAAATCTCACAGACTTAATGTAAGTAAAAGAAGCCATAGAGCACGTATCATATGATTCTAGTTATCCAGGCTCTAGAATGAGGGCATGAAAACAAGTAAAACTGTTCTACTCTGTTACAAGTCAGAATACTGGTACCCTTGGGAAGGTGACCGAAAGGGAGTACAAGGGGAAGTGGGGCTTCTGGGATGCTGGTACAAGTTACATCAAGGTATCCAGTCTTAGAAGTCCGGCAGCATCACTTCCACTGCATTCTATTGGCTTAAGTAGTTACAAAGGTCAATCCAGGTCCACTGAGGAGGAAACATCGATATCTCCTCTCGGTAGAAGGACATCAACATCACATTCAAGACTATCTATCCAGATGGGATATATATTCGTGCAGCCATCTTTTAATCTGCCACATGTATAATCTGCCACATAGTGCATCATCTTTGATCTTTTCTTTGTCCCCAGTCATTAATATGTGCAATAAATCACCAAAGCCTACTACTATCTCTTGATACTACTATGCCCTGAGTCTGTCTTTTTCAGTCTTTGGACAGCTTTTTGGGCCCCCCCTCTCCAAGGTCTATCAGGTGAATCCAGCAAGCAAACTGCACAGGCTTGAAGTCAGAACAATAAAATACATGCTGTCCTGTGAAGCAGCCGGGCAGGCCATCTTCAGCCTGTGTCAAAGTGACCTTGCAGCCCCACACCTCATGACTGAAGACGCCAGCTGGACAGATCCACAACAGGAAAAGATAAAGGGTAGCTGGCTCTCACATCTCCCAGCTGCATTTCTTCGAGATTGAGGGCATAATTAACAACCCTGGTCCTTGCCTTCCTCCACACGTAGATAACGTCAGCATCTCTGAACTTGTGTGATGTATAAACAAGGAATTCTTGTTTATGTTACCTTCAGTGTATGATCTAGAGAAAAGCCAAGATGTACTCTATCCCTTTTTTCACATATATGAAATCTAGTTATAAAGGTTTTTTCTTTTCCTCTTCCCTACGCATACACTGTCTTGTGAAAGAGACAGAAGCTGCACTTAAAGTCACGCCCCTAGGAGCAGTTCCATCAGAGCGCTCTGTTGCGCTGTTCTGCCCAAGTTCGAATTCCTCATGCGGATATTTAATAAACTCCTTCACTAATATCATCTAGACTCTTTACTTCAGTCAACAAGAACAAGTCCATCACCATTTAGACCACCTTTATTTCATGCCTCCATCATCCCACCTGGATTACTGCGTAACCTCCTAACAAGAACAGTCTTTTTGCTTCCAGCCTTACACCTTTCCAATCTATTCTCCATACTGAAGCCAAAACAGCTAAAAAGCGAACAAACAGAAAGCCCACTTATTTGCTTAAGTATTCTTAAGAATGCTTATCCTGGGTAGAGATCTCCCCAGATTGCTTAAAGTGAAACACTGATTTGTAGTTTTCTCTTTCTTTACTGATACACAATCCACCACTCTTTACCATGATGGTTACTTTTCATCAAAAACTACAGTTTGGCCACCAGTTCCAAGAAGGGGTCTTTTATTTTCTTTTTTTTAAGATTTTATTTTTCCTCTTTCTCCCCAAAGCCCCCTGGTATGTAGTTGTGTATTTTTAGCTGTGGGTCCTTCTAGTTGTGGCATGTGGGACACCGCCTCAGCATGGCCTGATGAGCGGTGCTGTGTCTGCGCCCAGGATCTGAACCAGTGAAACCCTGGACCGCCAAAGCGGAGCGCGCGAACTTAACCACTTGGCCATGGAGCGGGCCCCAAAGGGGTCATTTTTTCCTGGTAATTTATTCATATGTAGCACATCACTTAATTGCAGAATATTTCAACCAGTGTAGTGTTTCTCAAAGTGTAGTCCCAGAATCCACTGCAAAAGGTTTTGTGGGGGAGGGTCCCAAAATTTGTATCTAAATGAAGAATATCATGCGATTCTAAGGTACTCTAAAATTCGAGAACCTCTAGTTAAAGTTTTTCATACTTGCCCAGTTAACCTAATGAGCTGAATTCATTTCATATTCCTCTACTTTCTCTAGCTTCTCATTGTTTTTTATTTTAAAGATTTTATTTTTCTTTTTCTCCCCAAAAGCCCCTGGTAGATAGTTGCATATTTTTAGTTGTGGGTCCTTCTAGTTGTGGCGTGTGGGATGCTGCCTCAGCATGGCTTGACGAGCGGTGCCATCTCTGCGCCCAGGATCCGAACCAGCGAAACCCTGGGCCGCCAAAGCAGAGTGCACAAACTTAACCACTTGGCCACAGGGACGGCCCCTCTAGATTCTCTTTGACGTCCCCTCCATTTTCAGCCAGCCTAGGGGAGGTGGGTAGTGGAGAAAGGAGAACACATATTCAGACCTGGGACTGGAGAGCTTCTTCACTGCCGGCAGCCCTGTTTCCTCAGCTTGGCTTGCTGCTGTGAGATGAAGCCAGGGGTTCATTTAGTTGAGCTTGCTCTGTTCTTTTAAAGTCTCAGGGCCTTGACTCACTCTGCTCCTTCATTCTAGAATGCCTTTCTCTCCCAACTCCACCTCTCCAAAATCATCTAGTTATTAGAACTCTCTAAACAATTCTGGAGTTTCTCAGCCATTTTTGCTATGCTCTCAGTAATCCATGCAAGTGCCCATTCATACATTCAACAAATATCTATTGAGCACCTACTATGTACAAGGTGCTGTTCTAGGGCCTGGAGACTGGATCTTCATGAATCAAACCGGATAAAAATCCTTATCCTTGTGGAATTGATATTCTAATGAAGAAGACGGACAATAAGTAGTAAACAGACAAATAAGAAAGTAATATGAGATGTTAGGAGAAACAGGAGTATACAGGGGTGGCGGTCCAATTTAAGTAGCGTGGTGGTAAGAGAGCTTCATTGAGAAGATATGAAGCAGTGGGAAAGTCAGCCATACGGCTACTTAGGGGAGGAGCATGTCAGGCAGCAGTGCCAGGCAGGTTGGAAGCAGAGGGCAAGCAAGGAGGCCATTGTGACTGGAGCAGGGAGGGGGAAGAGGTCAGGGAGGTCATGGGTGGCCAGATTCCACAGGGCCTTGTAGGCCACTGTAAAAATTTGGGTTTTTACTCTGAGTGAAATGGGAGGACTTCACAGGGTTTTAAGCAGGGGAGCGACATACTGTTTTACGTTTTTTAAGCGTCTCTCTGGCTGCAATGTGAAGACAAGACAAGAAGAGTGAAATCAAGAAGCTATTGCAATAATCCAGGTGAGGCGGGATGGTGGTTTGGACCATGGGGGCAGGTGTGGAAGTCATAAAATTACATTTGTTTAATTCAAGTTGCGGCATTATGGCTTGCATTGAATGCATCACTAATATGCTTCTGCGGTGGGTTTTCCCAGCCTGGATTTCAGGAAGGGTAGGAAGGGGAGGGGGTAAAGATGGTTTGCGGTTACCAAGGAAACAGAACATCACACATCTGAAAACCTGAGATGGTTCTAGGCCTTTAGGCCTCTGGCGCAGCAATAATTCCTGGTCTGAGACCACCAGCCGCTTCCCAACAACCATGCGCAACAGGCCAGGGTGGGAACCTATGGAAAGCACAGGACTTTCGCAAAGTGGGACAGGCGCATTCCGGGAATCGTAGTTCTGCGCCCCTGCGCAGGCGCAGTGGCTTCTCCCCCCCGCCGGCTTGCGCGCGCAGCCCCTGCAGGACTCGCTTCTAGAAGCTCATTGCGGTGGCGTTGGTCCTGGCTGCGGGTCCTGCGGCAGGTAGTGGTTGTCCCGGGCCCCTAGCTTAGGGGCTGCGGCCAAGTCGCGGGCTCCGAGGGTGCACTGGGGGCGGCCTGGGGGCCGAGGGCAGCCGACTGATCTCGCTGTGCGCTCCCGGTGCTGCAGTTTCTGTGGGAGGTGGGCACTCTCCCGAAAGACGGAGCTTTCCTCCATCCCCTGCCTGCGCCCGTGGTCTCGCCACTTCGGTACTTGGACATTTTGGGCGGGAAAATTGCATGCTGTGTGTCGGGGGGATGAGGGGCAGTCCCGTGTGTTGCAGGATGTTTAGCAGCATCCTTGCCTCTACCCACTGGGTACCGGTAGCATCCCTCCTGCACTTGTAACCAGAATGTCTCCAGATATTGCTAAACGTCTCTTGTGGGGCAAATTCTCCCCTCTCCCCCGTTTGAGAACTTTTTTCTGCCTGCGTCACATTTTCACGGAGCCTCTCTTGTAAGCTCTCTGGAGACCGAGACGAGTGTCTTAGTCACCGCAGAGTTCCAGGTGCTCAGCACAGCGCCAGGTACTTGGTAGGTGCCTAATATTTGGTGGGGGAATAAATGACGTCATGCATACTGTGTGCCCGGCTCTGTGCTCGGAGGTGGGTATTGTTGGTATCAGTTGCAACAGGAGGAGAATGTCTTCTCACTTGCCGCATTGTAGCACATCTCAGGCTGTATTGTCGTTTCCTGGGTGCTCTGTGAGGGCGGGGACCCTGTCTGACCTGTCCATGCCTGTCTCCGTAGTGCCGGGTTCCCAGCTCGTTGTGGACGTTCAGTTATTTGTAGAATGAAAAAATGCATGCAGCACAGGGCAGGCTCCGTGCAGAAGTGCACTTGGAGATCAGAGAAAGCTTCACACAGAGGTGACAGTTGAGAGGAGTCAAGTTTTAAAGAATGAGTAAAAGTGGCAGGAGAGGGAAAGAAGGCAGCATTCCCAGGAGAGGGAATGGCTCTCGTGCAAAGGATGGAAGGGATAGATGGGTGGCTGGGAATGGTGAAATACTTCTTCATGGCTGCATTGTCCTTTAGGGGCAGCTAGAGCTCAAGAGGTGAGCTCATGGGGTGGGGTCTCCAGATCATCAGGCATGGCCTTTGCATTTGAATTTTATCTTGAGACACCTGGGGAGCGATAGGACCATATTTTGCATAATAGAAGGTTCCTTGGGCTACAGTATGAGAATGGATTGAGGAAGCCAGTACTTAGGTAGTTTCAGAAGGAGAGAATGGAGAGGTTTGTAGGAAATAAAACCTCCAGAACGTGGTTATTGATAATGTGAGAAATTTCAGAGGCAAATATGAAATCAGGCTTCTGAGTTGAGCAACTGGTGGGAAATGGGTGACCATTCACTGAGAGGGAGCAGGAAGGGTTGAATAGGTTTGTGACTAGATCCTCTTGTAGCTGTGAGCCTTTTCTGACATGTTTTGTTTATGAAGAGGATCAAGTCTGAAGAAACTGTTTTCTTGGAGGTTACCTTTAATTACCTGTAAGTAACTCCGTGGCTTTTCATCTATGGAGAAAACTATTCTTTTAATACAGTACTTGGGCAGGGCTGTTCTAGGCTTCTGAGAGTATGTGTGTGTATGTATCTGAACCAAAGCAGGAACCGTGTTTTTAGGATTAACAGCTTGTTTCACTTATTTAATATCTTCTGTTTCTTGACAGTTTCTGCAAGGCCATACACTGAATTGTTGGAACCCTTGATATTTTGCTGTCTGTAGTGCCTCTTGGTGGACTATACTATATTCAACTAGAGTCTAAAGAGGACTGGATTCCTGCTGGTGACAGACATTGCGAGCCGTAGTACTCTTGAACGAGATGACTGCCGTCTCCTCAGACCCTCAAACTCTGGCCTCGAGTGAACAGAGCAAGGTCCTGAGAATGGATACTCGTGGGGATCGAGAAGCTGTGCTAAGAGGAGACCCCGCGGACCCAGAGTCCTTCAGGCAGAGGTTCAGGCGGTTTTGTTACTCAGAAGTGGCTGGACCCAGAAAAGCCCTGAATCAACTCTGGGAGCTCTGCATTCGGTGGCTGAGGCCAGACATCCACACGAAAGAACAGATTTTAGAGCTTTTGGTGTTTGAGCAGTTCCTGACCATTTTGCCTGGGGAGATCAGGATTTGGGTAAAGTCACAGCATCCTGAGAGTAGTGAGGAAGTGGTGACCCTAATAGAGGATTTGACCCAAGCACTTGAGGCAAAGGAAGGTGAGATTCATAGATGGAGGGAGGAAGTGGGAGAGGGCTCTTCAAGGTGCGAAATAGACTCCCCAAAAGAAAGCAGTTTATTGCTGGAAAAGAGTCTTAATTTTGGAGTTGAGGCTGGGTTTGAGTCGGCCTTGCGTTTTAGTGTGTGATCTTTGGTAAGTTACATAACCTCTCAGAACTTTACATTTTTATCTCTAAAAAGGAGATCTCTAGTTTTGTTGTGAGGATTAAACAAGATGAGGTGGATGCTCAGGAAATACTGATTTCTTTCCCTTCACCCTTGAGCAAGAGGGAGCTGAGAAGACGAAAGAAAGAAATTTGAAAATCTTTGGAGTCACAAGCATGTCATCCGGCCCGGGCCTCAACTTCTTGCTCCAGCATGTACAATAGCATGTTTCTAGAATGGGGCCATCCAGTATCGGCGATGGTGGAAATGCGTTCTGCACTGTTTTTGCAGTTCAGCTTAATCGTATGAAATGTGGCTAGTGCAACTAAGGATTTGAATTTTTAGTTAAATTTAAATTTAAATAGTGATATGTGGTGAGCAACTGCCCTACTGGATAGTGTAGTTCCATAGCCTTAGGGGAGGAACAGCTGATTTATATTTTTATTACATTATTATACATTATATGTAAATGTATAAAATATAAACTATGAATTGCAACATAATTATACCATTGTAAAATATTGACGAAAAGACTTCTAGGGTGGGTAGCCCTTTGAGGGCATGTGGTTCAGCTTTTATAAAATCCCTCTAATATTCTACAAACATTCCAAATAGTTGTAGCATGTTATTTACCATAAGGCTCTCAATACGTATGTGTGACAATTTGTATTCTACCAAGCATTCTGAGAGAGAGAGGGAAATAGTGTTTACCTCCACAGAGGTAATTTGTGGTCACGCAGCTAATTGATGTATCTAAAATTTGGGTTTCCTGATTCCTCTCTGACTTGTCTGTCACTGCCACATGTGCGTCTCCAAAATTAGGGCCTCTGTGTGGAGGCCCCTGCAGTAAAGTTCATGAATTGGTTATCTAGCATTCTGTAAGATAAAACAGTTTCCTTAAAATGATCCCTCTTTTTTCTTTGATTACATAATTCTGATTCTTAATGGATAAGCTGCCTAAAATTCTTTCGTAAGAAAGTGAAAGATGATTTTAAAAAATACTTTTCCTTTATGAAAAGAAGAGCTGTTGAGATCTTAGGGTATTTCATACGTTTAGTTCATGTGTTCAGATTCCTGATTTCTGTCTGCAGGAATTTGCTGGTGACCACAGAGGTGGAGTTAGTTCTTGAGACCAGCTTGGTGCTTTCATTCACAAAGTGACTCTTTTGTGAGACGCTGTGCTAGGACTACGAAGAAAACAAATTAATACATAAAACAATATGCTATTTTACCTTAATATATCTTATAAATCATAAATATTTTGAAACCCATTATTGCATGAATACATTAAAACTTGGGGTATATAGAATGAGGGAAGTCAGTTTTTGAGCTTAGGGATTAAAAGGTTATTTTATGGGGTAAGAGAAAAGCTTGGGTTTTAGTAGGAAACTGTATCTGTGGCTTTTCTCTGGGTTTGAAAGAGTGGGGAAAACTGTTTTTCTGTTTCTTCTGACCTTTTTATCCAGAGGGACATATGTAAGAATTTCTAGTCTGAGGAATCCATTTGAAAGACTGGACTGTGTTTTTTTCCCCTCTTTCCTAGATCCAGTCTCTGAGGATTCTGTTCTTTCCCAAGAGGAGCCTTCTGAGGAAGATAAAATGGTATCTGTCCTTCCAAATACCGAGTCCTGGGTAAGCTTCCTTTCACTCGTTTTCATTCTTAAGTAAATATTTAACTGAGCTCCTACTGAGTGGTATAAAGATACTAGAATAATTAAGACAGTCTCCTTTTCTTCGCATTCTTTACCTTCTTAGAGCTCATTATTCACATGCTGTTTTATTTCAGTTATAAGAATTTGTCACAAGTCTGACTCTTATAAAAGCAAAAAAATGACTTACTAGAAGTCAACAGTTATTCCCAATGAAATTAGGTAGCAATAGAATTCCATTTCCTTAACATGGTAAAGAACATCTCCAGCTGGATAGTGTTGGAAAATAAAAAACAATCTTCACAACGCCAGTAAAATGATAAAGATGTCTAACCTTACTGCTATTAATGAGTATTTTCTGGATATTCTAGCCAATGCAGTAAGAGAAGAAAGAAATGAGGTAAGTATTGGTATGAAAGAGGCAAATGGATATTATTTGCAGATAATACTGGCTATTTGGAAAACCTCAGAGAATCATCTGAATAAGTACTGGATCTCATAGAACAGTTGAGAAAAGTAACATTACAAATCACTAAGTTTCCTGTATACTAATAATTACTAGTGAGGAAAAAAATTTTTATTCACAATAGTAGATAATAGTGCTGTAGTAGGCTGATTAATGGCTCTCCAAAATATATGCACTTGCTGAGCCCTGGAACCTGTCAATGTTACTTTATTTGGAACAAAGGTCTTTGCACATGTGATTGAGTTAAGGATTTTGAAGTGAGATGAGGAAATGAGCTTGAATTATATGGGTGTGCCCTAAATGCCATCACAAGTGTCCTTGTAAGAGAGAGACAGAGGGAGATTGAACACACAACGGGAGTGGGGGGAGTGGGGGTGTGCGGAGAGCTATGTGAAGATTGGAGCACTAAGGCCAGAGCCAAGGAATGCCAAAGAATGCTGGCAGCCACCAGAGAAGCTGGAAGAGGCAAGGAACAGATTTTCCCTCAGAGCCTCTGAAGGAAGTGCAGCTCTGCGAACACCTTGATTTCAGTCTTCTGGCCTCCAGGACTGTGGGAGAATAAGCTTCTGTTTTAAGCCCCCAAAGTTATGGTAATTTGTTACAGCAGCCAGAGGAAGCTAATGGAAGTGCTCATATTTGCTCTGTTACACTACCTCTCAAAATAGCCTGCAGAGGATGCTACAGAAAGTGTATTTTAATATCACTGTGCTTGTGTGTCATTTGGAATAATTGCAAGTGTGCATATGTTGAACACAGATTCCGTTTGATTGGGATAGAAAATAATTGCTACTTATAACCAACTGGAAATGAAAATATGGAATGTACTCACTGATAGTACTCTTATTATTGCCTGTAGTCAGCTTATGTTAATTCTCTGAATTTGGATTTGGGAATGTAATTTGTAGCTTTCATTTAATATTCTTCTATTAATCCTAGAAATCAGTGTGTTGGGGTGAACTTGATCAATGTTAGACATTCCAGAGAACCTTGTCCAGCATTTCACACCAGGGACTAACTGGAAAAGGCAAGGATTGTGTCATAATCTTGCTCTGTATCGCATATAATAGTCATATAATAGCTACCTTGTAGCTTGGGTTTTGAGTTCTTAAAAAGTTGGATCCTGTCATAACTATTTATATCCTAACCACTTCTCTGAATCCTTAGGATCTATTTGGAATAATCCACTGCAAAAAGACTGTGTTTGGTGTTCTAGGAATCCGTGACATTCAAGGATGTGGCTGTGAACTTTTCCAGAGGAGAGTGGAGGAAGCTGGAGCCTTTTCAGAAGGAGCTGTATAAGGAAGTGCTACTGGAGAACTTCAGGAACCTAGAGTTTGTGGGTAAAGACATCTTCTCCTCATGATCTAGCATATAAACCAGATAGCTTTTTGTCCGCTATTATTAAAAGATAAGTGGTATTAACTGTTTTGGCTGGGCTTGCGGGGGTAATATGACTAATCCTAAAAATGGGTCCTGAAAATGTACTTTTCTGCAGTATTTCCCCTAAAAAAGAGTTTTTGTTCATTGAACTGGAAATGTTGAGCATCATTTTACTGTCATCAAGGCCATCCCTTCCCCACTTTTCTCCTCAAATTTCAGTACTGATGTCTGTATTTGACAGCGTCTTCTCTTCCCTGAGGCTGTGTGTGAATGTTGGAATGTCTTTGTTCTATGGAAAAACAGCCATTTTCTCTTCTTTTCTCTGTAAGCAGGCTTGCCAGTTTCCAAATTAGATTTGGTTTCCCAGCTAACGTGGGCTGAACTACCACGGCTGCTGGAAAAAGAAATCTCAAAAGGCTCCAGATCAGGTGAGTTGGTGAAAAGTAGACAAGGAAATTAGAACAGTTGCTTACCAAGTCATTTGGGAAGAGCTCTTGAAATACTGGGTGGGCTAGATGCTAAAGTAGAAAGATGATGAGAACGTACCCCTTGCCTTCCTGGAATGTTCATTTTAACATGGGAGACTGTTTGGGTCCTCTGAGAAGCACCTGTCAAGGCACGATTAGCCATGCCAGAAACTTACTGGGGAGAATTCCAGTGAAGGAAAATGGAGCGGGGGTTGGAAGAGGCCAGAAGAGCTGTCAGAGCATGATTCAGGTCTAACACTTGTGAATGGGAGAAGGAAGGAAGGAAGGTTGGGTGGGAAGAGTCTTAGACTGAAGTTGAGTTTTAAGAAGGTTTTGGGAAGGCCAAAAGAGAGTCTTCCAGGCAGAGTTGCCTGGCAGAGCCCTGTGTGTCTCACGGAAATGGGCCTGCTTAAGTATCCCTGCTCTCTTTGTCATTGACTGGGCACAGCCCATGGGAAAGTGGCCTTGGTGTGAATGCCATGGTGGACTCATAGAGCAGCAGCAGGGACCCTTAGGTAAGTGCCCCAGAGGAGGAGATCTGAGAGGTGCATTTGTATGGATGCCATTGATAGAGATATCAAAACAAAAAGTGTTAGGATTGAGTGTATGCTGTAATAGTGGCATGTGTAAGAAGCAGTGGGAAAATAGAGGAGCAAAGGCTTGATTAACATTTGAGTTGAATCTTGGGCGATAAGTAGGAGTTCATCCAGTGGCTAGCACATATAGTATAATCCCGTTTTTGTTAAAAGAAAAAAATATACATATGTGTATGTCTAAATAGATAGACAGAGATTTTTAATATCTGGAGAATATTCATGTTAACCCTGGTTCTCATTGAGGGATTGCATTTTCTTGCTCCTTCCCTTAAAATTTAACAAGAAATATACTAAATTTATATTTTTAAAAATAAAAATAAATCATTACTTATATATCAATACCTTGGTTTGTTTTAAAGAAAAAAAGAGTTATTCACTTGGCTGTATTCTGTCTTCTTAACCGTTCATTTTAGTCAACCTGTTGGCCGTTTCTAGTATAGTTACACAACTAACCGACGGCAATTGTCTTACTATGTTAAACTAGCATTTGAGAGAGTAATTCCAAAAATGGGTTCTAAAAAATGTTTTGACTAAAATCTAGCAGCATTGGTATAAATATATACCCCTCCCCCCAAGATACTTATGTAAACAAAGCATCATTTAGATGTACAACTTGTTTAAAAAGTCACTTACAGCAGACTGGAGAAAAAAGTTTTTGACAGACAAAGCAGAGTCCATAGCCATAATTTATAAAAAGCTCATGCAAATCAATGAGGAACACTGAGTCTGTTAGAAAAATGGGCAAAGAACTTGGGCAGATAGCTGACAAAATTAAAAATAACTGACAAAATTAAATTTAAATAGCTGTGAACATGAAAACAAGTTCCCAGTCACTGGTCAACAATGAAAAATACATTTAAAGCAACGATACATTTGTTACCCATCAAATTTGCAAAGATTTAAAGAAAGATCATTTGACCAGAGATGAGTACCCAGGTACTTCTGCTCATCATATATTGTGTAGTAGTATAACTCTTCTACCCTTTGGTTCATTAATTCCACTGTTATGTCTCTCTTCTGAGGAAATATTAATCATTTGATAAACATTCAGTAAGGAAATAACTAAACAAACTATGATATATCTATGTGGTGGATTATTATGTGACTGATTAAAATTGTCTTTATAAGAATACCAATGAAGTGGGAAAGAATTATGAATGAAAAAAGTAACTACATATTACACACAATTTTTCTATCCTAAAATATGTAGAAACTTTATAGAAGAAAATAGACAGGTTTTAACAATGGTTAACTTCTGGGTAATAGTATTTTGTGTTTTATAGTTACCTGTTTAAAAAATAGTGTTATAAAAGTAACAATATAATCTCATGATTAAGAGCCGAGGTGACTGATGTGGTTAATAAATGAATTCAAAGTTCTGAGAAGAGCATAAATAGTGAGTATATGGTATTGGAGAAAGCCCTGTGGAGACTGTAGGACTCGAACCCTGGGCCCTGCCAAATTTATATATTTGTGATGGTGAGGGTGCTGTGGAATTGCATTCTAGGTAGTATGAAGTATTAAGACTATTAATTAAGTATTAAGACTATTAATACTAGAAGTATTAAGACCAAGGCAATAGGACTGAAAATGCTGTAACACGGACAGTAAATGGATGCCTGATTAAAGTATCCATAAGGTTGATAGGGCTGGATTGTGGTGACCTTTGAAAGTCTAGTATAGATGATGTCGCATATCTGTGATGTGATTAACTATCTATAGTTAATATTATAAACTTATGCTATGTGGCTGCTTTGGGGAGAAGCAATGTGGTCTAGGGACCAAAAGCATGGGCTTTGGTGTCAGGCTAGGTTAAAAATTTAGCTCTGCCACTTATAACACATGTGACCTTGGTCAAGCCATTTAGACTCTACGTGCCTAGTGGTCACATCCATAAGACAAGGATAGTAATAGGAACTACTTCATAGGGTTGTTGTGAAGATTAAGTGAAATATAAATGAAGTGCTTGATATGGGACCTGGCATTTGGTAAGTATTTGATAAATACCTGCACTGTTGTCATTATTGTTTGGAAAGAGAATACATTGGATATAGGCAGAATAAGTTTGAACCAAATATAGGAATTTGAAATGAGGGTGAGAACTTGCATTTCTAAGTATGAAGCGCAAAACTTTCATCTTCCTTAATATTTTCCCTAACCCCTGTGTTTTACCTGGTTTCCCTGTATCAGCTTTCCCTTCCCTTTATAAGACTCGATTTGAGAACTGTCCAAGCCATTTTCCTTGTAATCATTACTGTCTCTCTTCCTATTTCAGTCCCAAATACAGCAGCTTTCTTTATTGCAAACAGGAAATATTCTGTTATTTCTTTTAGATTGTAAACGTAGAGGTGAATTGAAGGAATCTGTTCAAAATCAAGATGTTTGTTTGGAAGAAGCAACTTTAGATGAAATAATAGAAAGATACCTAATGGGTAGTGATTATGGCTTGATGGGAGAATCCTGGAAACATGGTGCATTAGAGGAGGATCGTAGCAATAAGGAATATTCACAATCAGCAGTCACACAGAAGAAAACGCGTGGGAGAGGCAAAAAGGGTGAGGAATTTGACCCAGAAAGGGGCCCCTTTGGAAGTAATTTCAAACAAACTTCAGACATAATTAAACATCTGAGAGTCTACTTAAGGAAGAAATCTCGAAGGTATAATGAATGCAAGAAGCCCTTTAGTTTTCATTCAGACCTTGTTCTGAACCGCAAAGAACACGGTGGAGAAAAGTCACGGAAATGTAATGAAGGCAGGAAAGTCTTAAGTCACTCTTCATCTCTTACTGACCATCAGAAACATCAGAAAATTCATTTTGGGGATAAGACTCAGAAGTGCACTAACTGTGGGGTGGCCTTTTTTCAAAGATCATCCCTTAGTAAGAGAAAAAGCTCTACGTGTGAAAAATGTCGGAAAAATTTATGTCAAGCCACCGCCTCGAATAAAGATGAGGGAACTGAGACTGAAGAAAAAACCCATAAATGTAGCAAGTGTGGAAAAGCCTTTGGCTATAGTGCCTCACTGACCAAGCACAGGAGGATTCACACTGGGGAGAAACCCTATATGTGCAATGAATGTGGAAAAGCTTTCAGTGACAGTTCGTCACTCACGCCACATCACAGAACTCATAGTGGAGAGAAACCCTACAAGTGTGATGATTGTGGAAAAGCTTTCACCCTGAGTGCCCATCTCATTAAACATCAGAGAGTTCATACTGGAGAAAAACCCTATAAATGTAAAGAGTGTGGGAGACCCTTTAGTGACAGTTCGTCTCTTATTCAACATCAGCGAATTCATACTGGAGAAAAACCCTACACATGTAACAACTGTGGAAAATCCTTCAGTCATAGCTCATCCCTTTCCAAACATCAGAGGATTCATACTGGAGAGAAACCCTATAAATGTGGTGAATGTGGAAAAGCCTTTAGACAGAATTCTTGCCTTACCCGACATCAGAGAATTCACACTGGAGAAAAACCGTATTTATGTAATGACTGCGGGATGACTTTCAGCCATTTTACATCTGTCATTTACCATCAGAGACTTCACTCAGGAGAAAAACCCTACAAATGTAACCAGTGTGAGAAAGCCTTCCCTACTCATTCACTCCTTAGTCGTCATCAGAGAATTCATACTGGTGTAAAACCCTATAAATGTAAAGAATGTGGAAAGTCCTTCAGTCAGAGTTCATCTCTTAATGAACATCATCGTATTCATACTGGAGAGAAACCCTATGAATGTAACTATTGTGGAGCGACCTTTAGTCGAAGCTCAATCCTTGTGGAACACCTGAAAATCCATACCGGCAGGAGAGAATATGAATGTAATGAATGTGAGAAGACATTTAAAAGCAATTCAGGCCTCATCAGACATCGGGGATTTCACTCTGGAGAGTGACTCTTGGAAGATAGTAGGGTGGGGGGGTATTTAGTCAAAATTGTCCCTTATTTAAAAACCCAGGCTGTAAACTACCACAGCATTAATTAGTAGCTGCAACTTCGTTGGGTTGGCGGCTAGGAAAAATGTAATTTTTCCCATTGACCCCTCTTTCAAGGATGTCAGCTTTTGGTAGATAGTAATAGGGTTGGTAAATTCATATGAAAAGTGAAGAAAGTAGTATGAGATGAGAAATGATTCTAAAAGGCCAAATGTGCATTTAAAAAGCAGGGGAGGGGTGCACAGGACCCATCTTATAACCTTTTCTCTGGAGATTTCCCTCTCTTCTAGCTTCCCCTTCCACTACCGTGTAGTGTAATAGAAAGAGAACTTGACTGGGGTCAGATAACCTGGCTTTTCTCCCTGTTTGCTGACCCACTTGCTCTGTACCCTTGGGCAAATCATTTGACCTTTTTGAATTTTAGTTTCTCTACTGGTAGAATGAAGCAATGGGACTAATGATTTCTGAAGGGTTTTTTTTTTTGGTACCTCTGATATTCTCTGAAGCTGTGGGAATAAGTTAAACCTTTTTGATTCATTAGAATTTGCAAGTTTCTCTAGCAGAAAATTACTCCTTTAGGATACTGAACTTCGACTGAGTGAGAACGCAGTACGCTTTCTGAATACTTGATGCCGGGATTGCTAGGAAGTTGTAAAGAGAAGCAAGCCGGTGGAGCTCCAACAAGTTTGCCTTCAGGGAATCTTTTAATTGGACAAAGCATCCCAGCCTCTTTTTCCTCTGGCCACTGGCTGAGGGAATGGGGATCCTCGAGGGTGTGCACCTGAGCCATCTCAGCCATGGGAATAACAGTCCTAGGAAAAGAGATTCGGGGGTTGTGGGGGATGGGAGGAAAATAGAGCTATTCTGGACAGATTGCCTTTCGGAAAATACAATTCTATTTTTTAAAATTTTACCTATACTAAGTACAGCTTCCTGTAACTGGATTGTAAACCTTCTGTACGACAAAGGTCACAAACTAAAATTGGGCCCTTTGACATGTTTTAATTGGTCTGTGCAGTAAGGGGTGGGTGTGTATGTATGTATGTATGTAAAAGTGGGTGGAATTAGTGCCACCATTTAAAAATAAGGAAATTTCATACCAAAAAAGAGAAAGACTTGTTTTGAAAAATAAAAAGGCTGACAACGCTGGCCCATACTCTGGTGGGTCAGTAGCTGGTCTGGGGTAGCAGCTGCTACTTTTAGATGGAGAATCTACTCTTCTACTTGCCAAGTTCTCTCACTTATGTAACCTGACTTGCCCACTGTGGGAATTTGAAATTATGATCCCCTGCTATCGGGAGAATACTTATCCTAAAATCTAAAGAGACTGCACTGATAGTAGAATTCAGGAAAAGAATATAGAAAAGATGCAGAATGAATTTTCAGTTAAGTTTTCTGATGTAAAAGTAGACCTCGAAGGACTAGTGTACAGATTTTAGTGGATTCTCCCTTAGAGATTTCGTTGGTGCAGTCAAATAATAATTTCTAACTGAAAAAGGAACTAAAAACCCAAAGTCAGTTAGGTTTGTCTCTCAGGTCATAGGGTTCTGAAAGAGTCCCACTGACTCAACAAGGTATAAAGTTCCTAAATTTGAAATCGGAGGCGGCTCCTATAAAAAGAGCACTAAACCAGAAAACTTGTGGCTCATCGACGTGAAGAGATCCGTAATGCTCATCTGAGACTCAGCAGTATTTGCTGTGATTTTAATGGGTTTAGGTTTGCAGTGCTACCTCTGGAGGGTATTTTTGGTTTCTTGTGCCCTGACTTCTCCCAAAGCCTATAGTTCAAACACTGCTGTGTGATGACTTGATCTGCAGTTACTGCTAAATGGACCAACCAGAGATGGTTCAGCTATGAACGGAATATGGCTTAGGAGAACCACTTACCCTGGTTTAAATGTTTTTCTGAAAAGACGTAAATGCTGGTTTGATTTTTTTGAGAAGATGTAATTTATGGAAAGAAATATGTAAAAATTCTTGAAAAGAGGCTTGTTCTAGGATGTTATATCCCTGAATTCATAAGAGAATGGTTTATACCACTATCAATTGGGAATCTGGAACATAAATTTTTTTATAACGAAGTATAAATTACATATCATAAAAATCATTTCAAGTGTACAGTTCCATGAGTTTTAGCGAATTCGTTGAGTCGTGCAATCATCACCATAATCCACTTTTAGAACATTTTATCACCTCAGTAAGATCGCTCATGCTCATTTACGGTTTATTCCCATTCCCACTCGTGGTTCAAGGCAACCACTAATTTGTCTACTCTCTCTGTAGTGTTGCCTTTTCTGGACATTTTATATAAATGGATTCATATGTGGTCTTTTGTTAGTTTTTCACGAACGTGTCTAAGTTCTTCCATGTTGTAGCATATCAGTACTTTATCCCTCTGTATTAATAATATCCACTTGTATGGGTATACCATATTTTGTCCATTCACCGGTTCAAGGACGTATGGGTTGTTTCCAGTTTTTGGCTGTTAGGAATAATGCTGCTCCGAATGTTAACGTGAAAGTCTTCGTGTAGACATGTTTTCGTTTTTCTTAGATGCCTGAGTGGAGTTGCTGGGTCTTCTAGCCATCCTAGTGGTTGAAGTGGCGCCTGTGGTTTTAATTTGCGTTTCCCTGATGGCTAATGATGTTAAGAATCTTCTCATGTATTCTTTAGCTATTCATATATTTTCATTGGTGAAATGTTTTTTCACATGTTTTGTCCATTTAAAAAATAGGGTTATTAGTGAGTTGTAGTTCTTTTTATCTTACATACAAGCCTTCTTATCCAGTATCGACTTTCTAAATACCATGTTCTAGCCACAGAGGGCAACCTCAAACCCTGCTACACAATATTTATCCAAAGCTTGGTTTCAGTAACTACTTAGATACCTTGCCTAAAGGATATTTAGTTTGACCCATCATCTAAATACTTAAATTCAGTTTTGAATTCCGTCAGATCCCCAGAAGGTTTTTAACTTTTGACTCCTTGTAGAATTGCTTTTATTAGCTTATATTTAACTTTATGCCATTTGGCTACGTTGATGAGTATTAAAATCAGCCCTGTGACGTATTTTACTTTAAAATGAAGACCTTGCTTTTAAAAATGTTTCCTCTTGATGAGTTTCTATTGAAGAAATTCCTTTTAGGTCATAAGAAAAGACAAGGCTTCTCCTGTCAACGAATTTGCTTTTATTTCCTTATTTTAGAATTTTTTCTTTTTTTTCTGCTTTTTCATCCCAAAGCCCCTCAGTATGTAGTTGTGTATCTTAGTTGTGGGTCCTTCTAGTTGTAGCATGTGGGATACCACCTCAACATGGCCTGACAAGCAGTGCCATGTCCACGCCTAGGATCCGAACTGGTGAAACCCTGGACCGCAGAAGCGAGCATGCGAATGCAACCACCCGGCCACAGGGCCGGCCCCCTAGAATTCTTTTTTAATGTGACAAAATATACGTAACATAAAATTGACCAACCCTTTTTGGGTGTACAGTTCAGTGGCATTAAGTACATTCATGTTGTGCGATCATCACCGCTATTCATCTCCAGAACTTTCCCTCATTCCAAACTGAAACTCTCCTCATGAACCAGTGACTCCCCATTCTCGCCTCCCCCAAGTCCCAGGTAACAATATTCTACTTTCTGTCTCTATGAATTTGACTACTCTAGTCATACAAATGCAATAGTTCAGTATTTGTCTCTTTGTGTCTGGCTTGACTCATTTAGCATAATGTTTTTAAGCTTCTTGCAGTGTATGTCAGAATTCCATTCCTTTGTAGGGTTGAATAATATTCCATTGTATGTATATACCATGTTTTCTTTATTCATCTGTCCATGGACATTTAGGTTGTTTCCACCATTTTGGTTAATAACTCTTCCATGAACAGTGGTGTCATTTTCCGTTTGTTCATACATCAATTTCCTATCATTACCCATGTCTTCCTTGGGCTTTTTTTGATATGCTGGTATTTAGTAAAAGCTTGTTACCTGTAGGGCCTACATAAACGTATTTCATTTAATCTTTATAATACTTAACGAAGTAGGTACTGTCAACCTTAAACAGAGCAAAGGGCAATTTTGTTTAAGCACAAGTGGGTTTATTTGGGAATAGCAGAGGAATTTCATTTCAGGACAAGCAAACTATGGTGAGCCATAGGCAAGTGCGAAGAGACAAAAGACAGCTTGTATTAGGTTCTGGGGGGAAATTGGGGGAGGGTAGTTTTGAGCAAAAATTCATTGGAGGGAAACGACAGTTCCAGGTTGTGGCAGTTTCCCTTCAGCAGCAAGCGATGGTTAGTGTGTCATCTTGGGGGCGGGGAGGAATCGTCCTTCTTCCAGCTGGTTATGAGGCTGTGAGCAGTGGTTGCTGTGTGAGAACTCTCCCTTCATGGCTTCCCGACTCCATTTTGAATCCTATTTGAATTCCTTTATCCATTTTTCACTATTTTTTGCCCTTTTTGAAATGTTCAGAAGTATACCTAGACGTATCTGTGTAATATTCTGTGTTCCTAGTTTCCAAGAACTGTCTTACATCTTTCTTAATTCAATCGTACAAACACTTGTTAACAGTTAGTATATATAGGGCACTTTAAGGGATGAGGAGATAAGTGATAAATGTTCTGTACCCTGTAAAGATCAAGTCGTGTGTGTAAGACTGATGTGTGTATTGGAGGGCTAGGTGAGTATGCAGGTCATAGTATGGTCGCAGCCAACAGCTAAAGTGAACTGTGTTAAATGCTAAAAGTGAGATACAAACAGCACTGTGGGAGCACATAGGAGAGTGATGCTGAGCCGTGAAGTGGAGCTGGGAGTCCGTTCCACTGCTTGTTGCCACAGTGCAGGGCCTGCATTATAAGGACCTTTCCAGCCCTTTTGAGGAGGTTGTGCCTTACTACCAGGGTAGTGGGGAACCAGTGGAGGTTTTGCCTGTGTGTGTATTGCTGGAGACTTGTTTTTGTTCTTGCTGTTTTGTGTTTTCTTCAGAATCATTTCTCAGATGCAGAACTGCTTAAGCAAAGGGGAGACACACTTTAGGATTTTTTTTTTTTAAGATTTTATTTTTTTTCCTTCTCCCCAAAGGCCCCCGGTACATAGTTGTATATTCTTCGTTGTGGGTCCTTCTAGTTGTGGCATGTGGGACGCTGCCTCAGCGTGGTTTGATGAGCAGTGCCATGTCCGCGCCAAGGATTCAAACCAACGGAACACTGGGCCACCTGCAGCAGAGCGCGCGAACTTAACCACTTGGCCACGGGGCCAGCTCCCACTTTAGGATTCTTAAAACCCAAATTATTGTCTGTGAAGTGCAGCACATTCATACAGTCTCTCCCATGTGTGGAAACGTTGATGTCTATCAAGGTCTGACCTAAGGAAGCTTTTCCCAAAGCCAGGGCACCTGCAACGTGTCTCCGAACGAATCTTCTGGTGCTCAGTAAGTTGCATCTTGCTGGCAGAATGTTTTCCACCCCGAGAACATTGGGGCGATCTCTCTTCTGGACTCTCTTTCTTGTGGCTTCTAAGGTCGAGAGATTCTTCCAGGTTGGACTTCTTAGGTGTCTCTCCCTGTAGAGCGGTTCTGATAATCTGCAAGCTTTGCCAAATCTATAGCTGTTCTGGGGGTTTTCCCTGTTGATATTCAAGATGTGTATAGTCTTAGAAAATGGGACCAAGGAAAGCATTTCCTTCTAAAGTGACAATGGATACATATTCCCCAGTTTTTTCTGCTTTGAAGAATCTTCTTCATGTTCTCTTTTGATCTGCCAGTACCATCAGAACCTTGCTTTTAGCTCTTTGAGCATCTTTAAGACAGTGGGTTTAAAGACTTTGTCTAGCAAGTCTGACTTCTGGGCTTTCTCAGGTACATTTTCTGTTGATTTGTTTTATTCCTTCGAATGGGCCATACTTTCCTGTTTCTTTGTATGCCTTGTGATTTTTTATTGTTGTTGAAAACTAGACATTTGAATCTGATAAGTGTGATAGCTCTGGAAATCAGATTCTCCCTCTTCCCAGAGTTTGTTGTTATTTTGGTTGTGTTAGAGTGTCTCTGTGTTGGGGATCAGTCTGTGGTGAATGCTTAAACTTTTCTTGGTTGTTCTCCAAGCCTGTCTTTCCCTGGGCAGAGGCAATGGCTTTCTAAATTCTCCCATATATGCATTTTTTTTTCAATGTCCAAAAAAACCCAGGTGATGTCCCTTTAAATACCCTGAAAGCCACTTTTGGGCAGTGGGGGTTGGAAGAATGGCCGCTGGCCTCTGGTCTCTTCCTCCATGATCAGAAGCAGCCATCCCCAGTCAGAAGCCAGAACGCTTATGTTTGGAGGAAAAGGTCTTCATTGCCCACCCTGGCTCCAGCAAGGCAAACTAGAAATGTGGGTTCCCTCCCCAGAGCTGCCTGCCATGGGGCTGGCCAGTGGGGGATGAGTAGCTGCTACCGTGCTGAAGGCTAAAATCCACCAGTATTAACTGCACTTTACCAGTCAAGGTTTCCCCTGGAAGCTACAAGTTTTAAAATAGGCTCCTGTATTCCAGAATCACTTAACATACTTTCCACCAGTGCAATTGGTTAGGTAGAGAAATGGATTCCTGCTGCTTCCTACTCCCACCTTCTCTGACGTCACTTCCTCCATGTCTTAGATTTTTATCTTGCTCTCTGGCAGATTTCTCCAACTTTCTGTTCCATCTCTAATACTAAATGTTTTGAATGTTTTATTTCTGTTGTCAAACTTATATTTCCAAGTTCACTTTTGGATTCCCTGTTCCTTTTTTATAATACTCTATTTTTGTTTCATGAGCGAAATGGGTTTTTCTGTGAGAGGTAATATAGTGTCTTCAGTGTTGCTCTTACTCCCTGCCTTCTCTTTCCTCTGAGTTGTTTTTACCTGTCTTCTCTCTTTCATACTGGAGGCTCTGCTCAAACTTCTGGTGAGCGTTGTCTGTTCACATTTAAGAAGAGGGCTCTGAAAAGCTGATCAGAAGGTGTTTCAGTTACTGCAGCACCGTCCAGTAGGAATATAACGTGAGCCACATGCGTAACTGCAAATTTTCTAGTAGCTACTCTTAAAAAGTAAAAGAAAACGGGTGAATAATATATTTTATGTCACCCAGTATATTGATAATATTATTTCAG